CCCGGCGGGCGACGTCTGAGGTTGTATCTAATAGACATGTCTGGGTTTTCGAAATATGTTAGCTAACAGAAAGAGAGAGAATAGAAACGTGCGATATAGGTCGTCGAAAGGAGTCCCGAGTTGATCAGACTCGGAGGAGGCCCAGTCGACGAGGAAGAGAGAGAGATAGAGACGAGAGTGAGAGATGGTTGTTGTCGAGAGACTAGCTGTCAAAAATATGACGCGCTCGCTGGCCCGAAGGGGTAGGTGGCGCGTCACGAGAGGGAGAGAGGTTCGCTCGAGGGATAGACAGGGTATGAGTATCTCGATTGAACGCTGGAGTTTGTACATACAGATCTGGGTTTATATACGGTTCATGGGCGCTATAACAGCTCTAAGGTTCGGGAAGACTCGGGCTAGATACGAGTGAGATAAGAGAAGCTGAGAGATCGAGGAGAGACAATCCCGAAGCACGGAGTCGATCAGGTACGAAGGGAGAGAAGAGAAGTAGCGCGCGACGCGGGCGCTACAGCATGGACATTTTCTCGGTGGACATCGTTTCCGTTGTGCTGTATGTATTCATATTGGTAGTGTCGCGTTCCAACACCTTTGCCTCATATATAGTTTCGTTGTTCTCGTAGTCTCCGTGACCATCGCGCGTCACAGGGACGAATGGGGATTCGTATGACAACGCGAAAGGTATCATTGTTGATTTTGCGCCTCAGGTTATGGCCTCGATCGACGAAGCTCAATCGGATCTTGGGGTGTAGGTGGGGCACTCTAGTGCATAGACTCTACCGCGTGCATTGTAGACGTGGCTCGAGGTATATACATGTATACGAGACGGTCATCACAAGCGACTCGGACGGGGAACATGTACAGCACAATCATCCCCGCATAAAACGGCGACGAAATGGACGTGATATCCCACCGCCGACATCAGGTCCGGAGGTACGCCCATGAAAGACTGTGCGCGACGCACCTCATAGGCAACTGCTCCCTCTCAGAAAGGTACCATCAGTTGCCCTTGATCACGATACCACCAATCCGGCAGCACAGAAATATGGGAGCGATGAAGGAAGACCCACAGACTCGCATATATGAACCCCTTCCCAGAGGACCCGATATGCATCAAAACTGTCCTGACCGTCGGGACGTCGTAATCCGGATGACTCTCCAATGGGCAGGCGCGACCTGACGATGGTGAGGCCAAAGCCGGCGGGAATGACTGATAGCGATGATTGGGATGAGAGGGCCGTCGAGTGAGGGAGGGGAACCGTAACAGAAGGGTTGCCCGCAGCCAACAGTACGTGGTCGCCAGAGTGAAGTTGCCGTCGACAAGTCTCGTGCAGGTGTCCCAGGTTGCTGACAGAACGGGGAGTAAAAGCATAATGAGAGCGAGGGCGGATTGCAGTGCTGAGGAGTGCAGAGATAGAGAGGGCACTGCGACGGAGATGATATGGCGGGCTGACAAACGGAATATGACTCTAGCAGGCAGAAGCAATGCGAGGCCTCGCATGCCTGGTGTTTGACCGGGGTAGCTAGCTCGAGTTGACCTGAGCCGCGTCAGAGGAACGAGCAGCAACGGGCATCGAAGAGAGCCTGAGCGCGGTTGGTGATGGCGTGACGAGTACTTCCAGTCACCATGTGACACCACGCATCCTTCCCGGCACTTCTTGCTTCTCGCCGACACGAACAATGTCTAGCCTTCCGTATTTACTGCACTGCGTGTCCCAACATGGCTCTGCCCATCCAGCAAGCCGATCATACACCCCGGGGCTCAACTTGAATCCGGTTCAGGAATCTAGTGTGTACGTCGTCAACCCCCGACTCCTCATCCGCCCAAGTACGTGGTGCGTTCATGAATGAATATCCGTGTTTGATGTGCTGCACAACCGGAAGGTCCTGCTCATGGTGGAATTGACTATTTGAGGACACCCTAAGTGCGATTCCTGCAATGTCCCTCGAGTCGACACCCCCGACGGAAGGTGGGAGATGTCTGAGCTAAGTCAAACGCGCCCCACGAGGGGACGGGCAGCCGCTGATATGATTTCCGTGCAAGAAGGAAGGAGCTGTCAACAGCTACCACATCTCTCTACCATTTGTCCCTTCCCATTGGACGGCTATCCTATCCGATTGAAGGGTATGTGCGCGATCATGAAATGTTGTGGGCACGTTACATTCAACCAAGCCCACTACAGACACTGTATGTTCTTAATGCCGCGCCCGCAATGCAAAGTGCACCTCTCGTGTCCCCATGAAGCTCGGAGAGAAGGATGCGATTGCGCCCACGACACGGTGAGGGAGCTCATTGTTGTTTATGAACGCTCCGGGCATTAGCTGATTGGCTGTATCTAGAACGGAGTATGTAGCCTAGGCCTGGTGGAGGCGTCCGAGTAGAAATGGGAGACCCTCTCCCTCCGGCTGTGATGCCTACTGGGTAAGTTTGATGTAAACGTTCTCATGCTTCATAAGCAATGCAAGTCGTTGTCTTCGATGTATCGTGAAGTTGGCTCCAGCATGCGTGAATTTGGTCAAGTGATATGTGGGCGCACCGCGTCTGAGCAGCGAATGAGCATGATGGTGGTGATTGTCTGTCACAGCCATATCGCCATCTGCCCCTTTGCTCAGGAGTAGAATCGTCGATCAGACAGGACAGGGTTCTCGCGCGTCTCGCGCTAGGGACGTGTGTTTACTGCCTGCACCGAAGCTGGCACCATGCGTCCAACACGTGGTAAGCCTGAGATCGCGATAAAGGCTTCGTACAGATGCTCCGACACTGATGCACCGAGGTGGACTCTCCCCCAGGTAGCTATTGCTCGTCCTTTGTCCTATCGCCCAAGCTGACCGCTGCCCGTGTCTAGGCCTTGCGCTACCTCCGCGACATTGTGTACTCAGCTTTGACTAAGCACGAGTGCGGCAGCATTTGACTGGACAGTCCATCAGTCTGTCCTTCGGAGCCTCGCAATTCATATCTCTGAGACAGCTGACAAGTGGTTGCCCATCCTTCCAACTGCCAGCGCTGGCCATAGACCTCACGTGTGCATCATACACGTAGAGTCGATTGTTAACAAGCCTAGCTCCGCGTCCGTGCCTTACTCCACGCCTTCAATACTGCTCACCCATAGAAACGAGACCTGTACCACAAACAACACGCTTCTCCCTCGCACCTCACAGGCACTGCTTGGACGAGTCACCGAAGAGACATCGCGAGTTGCCGTTTCTTGTGCATCCGTTGTCGTGCTTGGTCGCATTGGCTAGCAGGGAGCCCCGTTCGCATACGGTGTCGGTTTGTCACGTATGTACATCTCATTGGCGGGTTTCACTGACAGCCGACTGCTGTCCATCCCTAGTTTCTGAAGAGGCACCATGCGTCTCTTGGACACGCACACCGGACAGTTCGTCGAGAAGGACCCGGAGGACAAGAATACGAAGTTCGCCATCCTCTCGCACACCTGGGATCCCAAGGGCGAGCAGACGTTCAAGCAACTGAAGAAGATCCAGAAGCGTTATGTTCTACAATCTCAGTCCTCCCAGCCCGGCGCGGGAGGCTCTCAACCTGTTTCCTCACCTGTACAAAGAGGCCCGCTGGATGGCTCAGCATGTCCGCCGTCCATCCAATACTCTTCTCGCGCGTGTTTGCTGACGCGCCCTTTTGATTTTCATCAGCATCATCACGGCTGGAGAACGAGTGCACCACACTCCCTCTCGACAGTCCCCACCCGGCCGGGGGAGACCTCGTAGCGGAGCGCGACGATGCACCGGATGATGCCCGGGAATCGCGACCGGGCCGTGCGTTGAAGATCATATACCAGTTCATTCTGCTGGCCGTCTTCCTTCCCCTCTACCTCCAGCCCACTTCCTCCCCGGTATCCCCAGGAGGTGACATCACTCAAGGCGACTCTCCCATAGCTTCCTATCCCACCGAAGGTTCTTCGCCCCAGCTGGCCCAAGACGATGGCTCGAGGGCTTCTCCGCGCTCGATCTGGGACGATCCAGAGCTCTCTCCGAAGATCCGAGAGGCGTGCAGGGTGGCGCGCGAGGCCGGGTACCGATACCTCTGGATCGACTCATGCTGCATTGACAAAACGAGCAGCTCAGAGCAGACAGAGTCGATCAACTCAATGTATCTATGGTATGGTCGTGCGGGTCTGTGCTACGCCTACCTGGCAGACGTTCCATCCGGCAAAAACCCCCACGAGCCTTATTCCGCCTTCCGCTCGAGCCGATGGCACAAGCGCGGGTGGACGCTCCAAGAGCTCATCGCGCCTTCCGGCGTGACGTTTCTCGCTGACGACTGGACGGAAATCGGCGGGAAGCATACGCTCTTTGAGCTCATTGAGGAGATCACAGGCATCCCATATCAGGCTCTGTTGCACGTGAAGTCGCTCGGCGAGTTCAGCGTAGCTCAGCGACTCTCGTGGGCAGCGCAGCGGCAGACGACGCGGGAGGAGGACCGAGCATACTCGCTGCTTGGAATCTTCAACATCTACATGCCCACTCTCTACGGCGAGGGATCACGCGCATTCCGGCGGCTGCAGGAGGAGATTGTGCGGCGAATTCCCGACCTGAGTCTCTTTGCGTGGGACCGGCATATCTACAGGGGCTGCAATCCCAATCAGGATCTTGTTCAGGCACTAGAGAATGCTCAGTCGTTCACAAAGTTGACGTCCGGCTCGACACCTTTTGATTCAGACATCAGCGACTTTGAATCAGGGGAAAAGATCAGAGCCATCGCTCATGACGATTTGTTCCATCGGCTCAAGCTCAAGGACCTGCCGGCTCCCGAATACACCTTCACTCCACATGGTATTCGCACCAAGTTGCCCGTCGTACCCCTTTCGATTGCACTTCCCGAGCGGCTTACAGAGTATGATAGCGAAGCTCGATCTCAGTGGTACCTGGTCATCCTCGGGTGCGAACACGACGACCTTCCTGGCGCTCTTCTCGGGCAGGCCTGCCGCATCCCTCCCTCCAACTCCGGCGTCGAACACTTGTACCACAAATATGTGGGAATGCGCCCTGACCTTGAGCGCCTTCCTGAGTATTACGCCCTCTTTCCTTTGTCACCGGCAACCATCGCGCGCTGTCGCGAACACATTGCGGTGAAGACCGTGTACATCTCCAAGCCGGAGCGCGCTCCCGCACAATCACAGGATGCTCACCGTCAGCGGCACAAGACTCTCAACCTGATGCTGCTGAAGAAGACTCGCGATGCTCTACGTGCCCAAGGGTACACGGCGGAACTCCGAGGGCCGGATGAGAGCCATCCGAACACTCACTGGCTCACGCTTTCCAATGACGACCACAGGATCGCCGTCGAGTACCAGCATACTCTCGAGGACAAGTATTATATTCAGCGGTTGAGGATCAAGGCCAATGTCAAGGTGTTGCAACCCGCTCCTGGCTTGGTCGAGGAGATGGAGGTGTTTTCTGGCTCTATGGAGTGGTCAGATCATCTTAGAGCATATTGGATTTGGCACTGGTCGCTGCCCATGAAGAAAGTCGTCTTCACTCTCGCAGCACAGCGGCTCACCGTGCTGCTCGCCTTGGACTGGGCAGGCCCATCGCATTACATCCTGCGCGTTGGAGTCGTCACCAAGATGCTGCAGGACACAGCTCTCACGTCGTCCAAGTCGGCCCACGCGGAAGAGCTTCAGGCGTCCGGCGCTGACGATGAACAGGGCGCGCAGGATGTCGAGGCTGAGGGTGAGGGAAGCGGAGGTCGCGCGTGTAGCGCCATCGACGGTGCACGTCTCGGTCTGCTAGATTTGGAGGGCAGCACGGGTGTGCCGGATGCAGACTCCGGAGGAGAGGGTGGAGTGCGCTCGGAGTCACATGGCGGGGAAGTCGACGGGGAAGCGGAGGGCGAGGGAGGTGTATCGGCTTGACGGGACTGCCTTCTGGACGGCCGTGAGGGTATTTACATTTTCTCGGTGGACATCACTATCGTTGTGCTGTATGTATTCACCTTGGTAGCGTCGCGTTCCAACGCCTTCGCCTCATATATAGTTCCATTTTCCTCGCAGTCTCAATGACCATCGCGCCTGACCAGGACGAATGGGGATATGTATGCAACCTCTGACGACGCGAAAGGTATCAAATGTCATCTTGGCGCCTCAGGTTTTGGCCTCGATCGACGAAGTTAGATCGGACTCTTTGAGAGTAGGGCTGGGACGCGGGGTGGAGCGCTCTCGTGAATAGACTCTACTACGTGCATTGTTAACGTCGCTCAAGGTATATACATGTATACGAGACGGTCATCACAAGCGACTCGGACGGGGAAACGTTACTGCACAATCATCCCACAAAACGCAAGGTAATAGATGTGATATCCTACAGTTTGACTCAAATGGTGGCCTCCCGCTGCTGTACCGTCGAAGCCGCTGTCTAGCCGTGCAGCACATACCGATCCCTTCCTATGCCTTATAGTAGGTGCTTTACTAGTATGCAGTCCAGGTCCCGTAGTGACTCAACCTCAATGGATCACTGCAGTGTTTGTGCAATCACATGTAGCGATGCCTGTGCTAATTATAACTGTATGCGGCACAGATGTGCATCAATATACATGCATGAGCATGCACAAGACAATGGCACGTCGGATACGATAATTTCAAGACGAGCAACTGCATGCACAGATTCCGACGCGCAAGGTCTGCGTGATGGAGCACGCTTGTCGTGCAGGTCCTGTTTCTATGGGTGAGCAGCAATGAAGGCGCGGAGTAAGGCGGAGGTAGGCTTGCCGACAATCAAGTCTCCGTACATGCTACATACATGAGGCTTATGGCTAGCGCGGTTGAGTTGCCGACTGGAAAGCACTGTCGGGTATGAGCACTTCGACGGATTACTGAAGCAGATAGAATCATTCTCTACCCTTCAGAGTAAGTCTAGGAGCTCGTTCATTTGAATGTTGCAGCGGTGTGATGTCGCGAATGTCTGTAGTCGGTCATGACTTGGCAGTGAGGAATCGTGATGTATTCCTTATTTCGTTGGTGCCGACGGGAATGTACTACTCTTCTGATACAATAGCTGATTAAGCTAGTCGGTTGTCCTTCTCTTGCGTCCCGGGGCTTAAAAGGAGGACAACCGAGCATACTATCCGTGACGAACACGAAGCATACACACATGTGGAGGACGAGTCGGACAGTCGAGTCCGCGTCCCGCATACATGGGGGAGCTCATTATCCGACTCTGTCTTGCGATGGTCTGACTGACCTCATATAACGTGTAACATACCAGCATCAAGTCAGAGGTAGACAACGCTGATCGTATGCACATTGCACAAGAGAACGCGCCAATCAAGGCGGGCATCCGCACTACACAGTGAAATCGCAGGCACGCCTCGCACTCTGGAGCACCACAGCGCCTACCAGCGAAAATGACGTACAAACTCACCAAGCTTGTCACCCCGCCCTTGTCCTCGCAACCCACTCGTTGCGAGAAAGATACCACGAAATGGGCCGGCCATCGCACGACTTGTCAAGCGCAAAGCAAGACACGCATGCACCGCCGGTGGCCAGAATTTCGGAAGGGTGACGGGGGGAAAGGTGTTCAGACAGAGGTGCCAGTGGCGAGTCAAATTCCAAGGACAGCGACGGATGCTTCAGAGCGCCGTTGTAGGCAAGCCGAAACTGGACGAAGGTTTCGAACTGACGAACGTCAAGTTGAGCAATCGGAGAGCAGACGGGTGCGGAGCACTCACGAATTGATATGGTTCGCTCTACGGTGTGAAGACGAGGCCTAGTGGGCATCAAGCGCGATGCTCTTCGTGCATCGTTGGAGTCGGGTACTGGTGGCAACAATACATAGTGCGCTTGCAGGAAAGAGACGGGACAAAACTGCACACTGGCGAAATGTTAGCTCGCAGGCGACGGAGGTAAGTGAACGAGAACAACATCAGCAAAAGGCGCAACTAATGGGCATGCACGGTCATACCGGCCAAAGCCGGCCAGCCCTCTCCGGCGCGCGTCTGCGTCCGCAAATTCTCACCAAGTTAAGTCTCGTCAGACGAAAGATGGTAGACAAACATCGGGCGAGACGACTCACGGCATATAATGGCAGCTTATAATCAGCATATATGATTAATGGTCATTCGATTGCAGTTGGAATCTAGCTGCCTATGGGCGCACAAATTTTCAAGATGTATCTTTCGCTGCAAGGCATTCGGTACGGAGGAGATGCCAGAGAGAAAAACGGTTGCCAGTTCCTGTTTAGTAATACGAATCTGACCCGAATTAGCCCCGGACTCGGGCGTCTTGTTGACTGACGTCGCTTCGCCACTATCACATAGCTCCACGCTCTTGCTGAGCACTGCGTGCTCAGAAGGTCGGGAAAAACACCACATAAACGCGGCCCTAAAACTCCCAGCTTTTCTTGTAAATAACCCGTCAGAATGACGATCTACTGCCCGCTCTCTTTCACTAGATAGTCTAGGATCTGAAGACCGGATTTTTCGCAAAGAAACTTTCCCTTTTACGACCTTCCATTTGCGGGTTTTCACTACATTCGGGCTCCCGATCGCTTGCTGCTCTCTCTGTGGTGCGATAAACACCGGTGTATGACGATAGGCAACCTATTTCATTGTATAGTTACACAGGTAGATATGTATAAAGAGTGATACTGCAAAATCCATGCCATGGTGTGCCCACTCATGACATGACCGTTGAGGCTACAATCACTCCAGGGTACCCCTTCCCGCCCTCTATGCACCACAGCGACACAACCAAGATAATATCATGATACTCATGGACGACTTACAACAGCCACCGTCAAGACCTATTCCCTGTTTATCCCTCCTGCGGCTGGGGTACACGGTTCTATCTGCGGCCCTGTGGAGAGCATACGTGTCAGTATGCGGTGTACACGTTGTACACATCGAAAAATAGACGACTCACCATTAATGGCTCCGCTGACCCACATGCATGTTCTCCGGACGACATCCAGCCCTGATAAGGGTGAAGCTAAGTGAATGATAGTCAGCTGAAGCTCTTGAGAACAACGATTGGAACTTACTGCACCTTGTTCTCATTGACCCCTCAAACAACAGACCATGGAGCGGCCGCCCGCATGCTATGGAAGGAGCTAAAGGAGAGAAAAGGAATTAGTCGTAGAATCCCAGCAAGCAGCGACCAGTAGTAGCCCCCTAGCCCCCGAGCACGCAGAGCCCAGAGAAACCCAAGCCTGCCAGTATAAACTCTAATAAACGGCAGCAGACGCAAGCTAGACAAGCCCTCTGAAAGCGCAAGACTAGAGATGCCCCCGATAAGCACAAGGAGCAGTCGCATCAACAACCGCGAGTCCCGCGACCGCTCCTAAGTCCAACTGTTTGGCCCTATTTGTTTTGAGCCGCAGTGGAGGTAGGCGCTGGAGCATCAATGGCCTTGGCGACGGCGTCGTCTTTTTGTAGCCTTTTGGTCGACTTCCCAGAAGGTGGATCAATGACGACCTTTTATTAGGCCCCGACCTTGCCCCCACTTAGGGTAGTAAAACGCGATAAGTGCGGTATAACCCCTCACTTACTCAGGTCACTTGGGCACGCAGTGGAGCATAAAGCTCCTCGACCAACAGCCTCACCTTTCACCAACGC